GGATGCGCAAACAAACTTCATCTTCGAACCTAGTATGGTTAGAAACTGCCATTGAAGTCGATCCCTCAAGAGCTGCCTGATTTTTTGTATTTTTGCTTATTCGTACTGCTGTGGATGTGATAAAAAAAACTTCCGTCGGATTAGTTTCTGATCTTGTTTTACTGTTCGTCTTTTTCGGGGAGGGGGAGGGGGAGGAATTTATAGGTTTATCATGTTTTTTTTTCTGCAGTTGTAGTAATATTACCGGAGCCCCCCTCGTCCTTTCATCCAGGTGTTTGCTTGTCCTCAGAAAGCATTTCACCTCAGCAGATGGACGAAAAGTAGAATGCTTATCAGTTTGGGCTACAGGTAACTCATAATGGACTTGTGGCAAATTGATCAGCAACAATTAGACACATGCTTGTTTTGTTCACTTTTATATGCTGTTGAGTCCATTCCTTCTTGGATGTAGTAATAAAGAATAATAAATTGCGGCCCTTAAAAGGCTGATTCGTAATATTAAAAAGAAATGGGTAAAGGAATAAAAATGTGGGATGGCCGGAGTCAGAAAGTTAAAACGGAAGGAATGTTCTAATAAGGAACGTTTCGAGATTTTATATATATATATGTGCGTGGAAAAATGCCTGCCTTTCGTAAATGTTTTGTTAGGAGATTCCTTGTAACTTTGTTTATTTTCAGACGGCATTTCAATGGTACCCGGTAACAACAGCAACAACAACAACAAAGTACCACCATCAATGAGGAGTGGTGTCCATGAGGGTCAAGCTGCTGCTGCTGCTGCTGCTGTGTTATATCCTGGTGCTGCGGTACAAGCAGAGCTGCAACCACGTGCGGTAAAATGCCAACAATCTATTGTTGCTGCTGCTAGTTGCGCGGCCGCAGTGGAAGAAAGCTGCATGATTGGTATCAGGAAATCGGTTGAAAGTAATAGTATGGTACAAATTGAACAGCACGGTGCCGCCGTTGCCGGTATTGGAAATGCTGCAGCTGCTGCTACTGCTGCTGCTGCAGTTGCAACGAAATCAATTGTTGTGACGAACAAAATGTTTTCGAAGGCTACACCACTGGAAGCTGGTGATAATACTGGCATGATGATAAGTCATCATCATCATCATCATCGTGGTAAAATCACCGCTACTGCAGCAGCAGCTGCTGCTGCCGCTGCTGCTGCAGCAACTACACCAGCTGGTGCAGCAACATGCCGTGGCATTGTTAATTATGTTTACAATTGAACACAAAAGTGGTTCGTAATCAATCAGCAACAGGCTGCGCTATTTGCCTTTGATTCGGAATTTGGGCTTCTCATACTCAACTCAGCCCGTACCATTGCTTATTCTGTTTTGGAGAAGTTTTTAAAACCTTATTGTTCAAACAAAAAAAAGTCTCGGCCTCTCAGAACACGGTGATGATTGGGGGAGGGGGATTGTTGTTTCTTCGTGCACTGTGTGAAGGTGCTGTGAGTGCTAGCAGTTTGCGAAATCACTGAAAGGCCTGTACCCCGTACTGCAGAGGACCAAACGATGAAGTATAAGGTTAGCGAGAATGATAAGAGCAAAAAAAAAAATAAGTTAATAAAGATGTGCTGGTTTAAGTTGATAGGAGAAATTCGATCGCTGTTGGTATGATGACCACACGGGGATGGGAGGAGGCAAAGGGGGGTGGGGAGAAGGATGTGTAGTTGAAGTGGACTTGTGGCACTTGGCACACACAAAACAGATTTGTGGAGTAGCAGATGAATTTAGTTCCATATTCGAACATCGGGCGCAAAAATCAGTTCATCCATCATTACTGCTTTGTTATGATAAGTCAATTATAGCAATCAAGTTGACCTTGGAAGCCTAAATGGCAAAGACGCGACAGATTACAACGTAACTGAACAGTATGAGGGAAGAGTGAGATAAGACGTTTCGATCCATCAAGTAAACTGGTGCCAGTGCAACTCCGGAGGTGCTGAGTCTTTTATAGATTGCATCTTTTGCGTTTCACAAAAGATGGAACCTGAGAAAGACTATTTCAACGATTGAGTTATCGCCAGCTGAGAATTTTCACTAAGGTGAAGTTTTCGAGCATCCCAGATGTCCTTTCTTCCTGGCCTTGACCTCCTGTCCTCCCCTCGCTCAGTAATTTGAGGAAGTTTCAGCTTTTTTTTGATCTGGTTTCTGTTCATGTACGCAAAGAGAGATACGGGAGTGTGGCATATGTATAATATTTTTGTGTGTGTTACAAAAATGCTGTTGATGCCTACGCGGATGATGTCTGTAAAAATTGTGTCTGATGTCTCGCTGCATTATCGAATTTTTTTTGTGAAAATCAGAATTTTCAAAATTATATTTGAAGGAACTATACGTGTAACACAAAGAAACATGTGTGTGTGATGTGCTACACAGATCCTGAAGTTCATCTCTGTGAGTCTCTACGCATCTGATTTCAGTTCTTCTGAATTTTCATTACTCAACTTCCGGGGTTTTTTGCGCCCCGCTGTGCTCCAGTACTGCCTATATTGGTATCCATTGCCACTCCCGAGGTGCTTGAGTGTTAAATCCGTGTGCGGGAACTATGTTTGAATCTTTAAAATTTTGCTTACTGTCGCTTTAAAAATGACAACTTTCCTGCTCAGTAACGTGTATTTTTGTTCTATTCCCTCTCATCCTGAGAGTTATATTGCTCTGATTCAATTATCATTGTGTACCAGTAACAGAAGTTTGGGCATTTTGCTTATGTGCGAGCGTGAATTAAATTTATAGATTTTTAAATTAGCAAAATTGCTGCGAATTTTGGGGAATGTGTAAGAAAATGCATGTTATAATTTTATTGTTGGAATTGATGTTTCAGATGATCAAATTATCAAAAAGTTGGAAGTTTTTCACTTCTAGCATTTTGATAATTTGTTTAAAGAGAAAATGGGCCTATAAGGTGGTGGTTTGACTGAAACATTTTCATTAAAAAAGAGAGGCTAAGTGAAAACAAGAGGGCAGGAATTACTAGAACAGGAAGGATTGAGAAATTACAAAAAAAAAAAATAAAAAGAGGGAAAGTTGGTTTTTGGGAGGAAGAAGAGGGAGGGGAAACATTGAAGAGGAGTGTTTCGATCCACTGATTTTTGCGGGATTTTGCATTTTTTAAAAATGATTGTGAAATGAGATTTTTCGTTGCTAATCTGTTTTTGTGGGCCCTTCCATTGGGCAGCAGCGGCAGTATACGTTGTTGCTTTAACAGTCAAAAAGCTGTTGCAGCAGCAGCAGTGGATTTGTTGTCGCACCGGATATCGGGCATCTTACGCTTGCTACCCTCAGATATTTTGGTCTCAGTTTGTATTTCTCTCTCTCTTGGCATTGCGCGCCTGTGCATGTATGTGTCTGTGTGTGTGTTGTATATTACTTTTTTTGATTGTTTGTTTCCTGTGATTACTGCGAAATAATTTTTTCAAATGTACCCTTGGGACTGTATATTGTACAGCACCTGAAGTTGCCACCGCAGTAATCCATCCATTACATTCTTTGTTGTTGTTTTCTTTTTTTTTTTTTTTACTTTTTTCTCTTTTTGAAAAGAAGAAAAAAACAAATATGGCGAAAATGATGAGAACATTTTTTTGTTCCTCTTTATCAAAAAAAGCGTAAAAATCGACAAAATATGTGCATATTTTTGCAGTGTTTGCTTGACAAAGCACACATAAACCACACTGATTATTTATACAAAATAGCATCTGAAAACTGCTTCCAGGAGAGCGATCGTAAGTCGGGGTAGTTGCAGTAAGTTTAGTGGCGGTGGAAAGCAGAAAAGCGGCTCCGGTTCTTCTTTTTTTTGGAAAAATTGTGTAATTATGAAAAATCGTACTGCAAGTGTCCAGAGGATTTGGAAAAAGTTCCTGTGATTTCGTTGAGAGTTGGGGCACCTCGCCTGGCAATGGCGAGTCGCACCTTGACGATACCCCTCGGGGCGTATTTGTACTCCCTTGACGCTGCCTGTTGGCTGAACCGCGCGGGGATGCCGAAGACATAATGGTAGCTTTGGTGGTACTGACGAACTATAAGAAGATGAATAGTGACACAATCCGTGATCACTCACGATTTTTATATGCAGGATTTTAGCGTGTAAAAATCAAGAACGATCACCGGGAAATGGCGGATCACCGAGTCAAATGGCCTTCACGAAATTTCTTGCTAAATCCGTGCACCATCGAATAACCTGCTTTGCTCAACATGAGACTAACTAAAGATCTCGGTGTTTGATGGGTGTTTTTCATCGGGATTGCGCTGTTTTAGTGGGCGAGAGAAGGGGGGGGG